ATTAGGAGTTTGAGTTCAAATTGGAGTTTGAGTTTAATTAGGAATTCCCTTCTGTAATCTCCTATTTAAGGAGCTACGAATTGAAATAAAGGCATTCAGTTTTYCAGCCAAGAAAATAGTGAGGAGAGTTCGGGTGGTCTCTTGGACAAATCACCCCAAGGGAGAGTTCGGGTGGTCTCTCGGACAAATCACCCATTCAGTTTTCGCAATAGGGTCTGCACGCAAGGGAAGGCGCAAGGGGAAGCAGGGCTTTCGCACCGTGGACCGGCCCGTGACGGGATCCTACGCGCGGGATCATAATAAATACATTGCTAGGATGTTTCCATTTTCCTCTCTAATTACCCCATCTCTACCCGATGGGCCTGAATTGCCCATACAACTACCATAAAAATTCAATTTCTTCCACCCAGCACATGGGGGTGACTAGGCCTCTATAATTATTTGTCTTTTGGAGGAAAAAACAGCAATTGAACTCCACGAACTGAAAAAATCTTCAACTTGAATATGCAAAGAGCTTTAAAATTTTCACCCAATGAGTGACCTACGACCCTTAGAGTTATTGCTTCTATCACGGCTTCCTTACTTCTTTCCCTGCCTTCAAAGATTCTTAGATTCCTTTCTTTCCAAAGTGTCCAAACCACCGTTGCTCTAGTGCATCTCCCCAAAATCCCGCCTCTTCTTTTAGAGCAAGTAAAAATAAGAGAGCTAAATAGTCCCTCCAAGCTATCAAGGGGGATCTATCTACAACCAAAAAGAGAAGAGAACCACTCCCGAATGGAGAAATCAAAAGGACAAGAAACTAAGAGGTGAAAAGTAGTCTCACCAAACAACTTACATAAGAAGCACCAGTTTGTTCTTTTCCGCTAAAGCAAATCACAGGTATTAATGGAGACATGAAGCACTACCCGACAGAAAGCACTAATTTTAGGAGGAATGGGCTGAAAACATTTTTCCTTTACAGGGAAAGAAGGGTGGGAGGTGGCTACAAGAGAGTTCAAAAAGGACTTGCAAGAGTATGAACCTGTATGATCAAGGGCCCACACTCTAGAATCTAAATCACTACCCCCCAAGACCACTGAATTCAACAAGCTAAACAAAGCAGTAACACTGGAAATTTCAGACTCTCTAAGATTCTTAATAAGGCTTAAATTCCAATCCAAACCTGATTGGGAGGAGGAAGAGCTGACAAATCCAGACACAGGTTTTCCTATGAAATATAAAGTTCAAAGATAGAAGGAAAGGCCTCAGATAAAGAGGACTCCCTTATCCAAATATCCTCCCCAAACCTATTTTGTTGACCCATACCCAAGTCATACCTAATGGGAGTGAGGAACACAGGAAGATTGTCATGGATAGCCTTCTAAGGAGCAGCCAAAGTAGCTCTGTGCATGCAGCATGCGTCCCACCCATTGTTTGACAATCCATGGATGCTTGTTATAACTCTATTGCTATAACTTCTCATTTTCTTCAGGGAATCTCCAAAGCCATTTACTCAACAGAGCTGTATTCCTCAGCCTTATATTCTCAATACCCAGACCCCTCCTAGGGTTGTCAATGGGTTGGGTCTGACCTGACAGACCTAATGGACCTGAACCAATTGGGCCGGTTCTGGTTCGTCGGTTCTAAGTCCTGATATAGTGTCCCAATTATTATCGGTTCAGAACTGGTTCCACCCAGTACCAAACTGATTCAGACCTGATTCAAGCCGTATACATATAATAAATATATATTAAACACACACACACACACACATATATATATTTATTTATTATAATCGGATCCATTGGGTTAGACCCAATTGTCTCGAGAACCAATCGATTAGGTTCTGGGTCTAAAAATTACAGACCCTATCTTGTCCAGGTCCTCGATATTTCATGTCGGGCCGGTTCCGATTCTAGCTGGTCCCAACCCAGACCCGACCCATTGACAGCCCTACTCCTTTCATCCTTCAACTTCATCACCTTTTCCCATCTAACTAAATGGTCTTTCTTCCCTTCCCAGGCTCCCAAAGAAAATCTCTCATAATCTTTTCAAATCTTCTTACCACTGCTTGGGCATCCTAAAAACCGACATGAAGTACACAGGAAGGATTGCTAGAGTGGATTTGGTCAGAGTAATTCTCCCTCCCAACGGGATAAAATTCCTCTTCCAGCTTGCTAACCTCTTTTCAAACCTTTCCACCACTGGGGTCCAAAAACTAGTGGCTCTAGGGTTGCCACCTAAGGGTAAACCTAAGTAGTTCATGGGCCAATTTCCTTTCTCACAGCCCAAAGATTCTGCCATTTCTCTCAGATCATCTTCCAAATTGATACCAACCAACAAACTTTTAGACTAGTTAATTTTCAAATTTGATATCCTCTCAAAGAGCTTCACTACTAGCTTCAGATTTTTCACCCTACCTCTGCAATCCCATCATAGAAAACAAGGATATCATCTGCAAACTGCAAATGGGATACCAGGAATTCGTCTCTTCCTATTACCCATCCCTTAAACAGCTGCAAAAAATTTGCCTTAGAAATCAACTTGCTTAAGACCTCAACTACCAAAGTAAAGAGAAAGGGACAAAGTGAATTGCCTTGTCTAAGACCTCGAAGTCCCTCAAAGAAATCAACTACCGAGCCGTTAACAATAACAGAATAGTGGCTTGTTTGCAGGCACCCTCTAATCCATTTACACCACAAAATCCCAAAGCCACACCTCCTCATAATCTCCATTAAGAAATCCCAGTCAACTAAATCATAGGCTTCCTCCAGATCCTACTTGATTGTTACTCCCTTCTTCTTTAACCTTTTTTAGGGCTCCACACATTTATTAGCAATTAAAAAAAGATAACCATTTTTGTCATTTATATTCAAGATCTTTGTTGTGTTCTTGTGAAAAATCTGACATTAAACAGTCCAATCACAGAGTCTAATTGTTGGCAGGTTTTTTAGCTTTTGACAATAGTTTTAGTTTTTTTATAATGAATAATTTTGAAAAGTTTAATTTCTTTCCTTCAAGGAAGTTTAACTAATTTCTGTAGAGTGTTGTTTGAAAGTTAAGAGTATTCTGGTGCAATTTGGGGAAATTTTTGAAACTTGAGTTTCTAACAAGAATACAAGATTGAGACTGATGTTAAATACAAAATTCAGACCTTGTTATTAAGGTTTCTTTGATTTTTCAGCAGGAAGAAATACCCATTGGAAAACTTGGGATCAAATGGCAAGAAGGTCTGAAAACGTAAATTACTTACAATCTAACAGAACATGGCTCTTGATAGAGCAAAATGGTGGGACAGGGTTCACAGAAAAAAAAAAGGAGTTTGAAACAAAGTTGCTTCTAGTTATGCATCAAGACTTAGGGGAGACGAGAGATTTCCCACTTATAAAGTAATATATTAATAGGAGAAATTTTCTATCTTTTGTTTGGCCCTGAAAAGCCCAGAATTCCTCTCTAAACTATTTTTTGAGAACTTGAGTTTTTCTTAGTTTGATCATTTTATATTTTTGATAATCATATTATTTCTACCTCTATAAAACAAGGACTATGTTTTAAAATTGGGTGCTTTTCCCAAGTAAGAGTCTAAGAGAACATGCCAATTGGATTGAAACAGATTAAGAACAATGTTCTCATTTATGTTTTGAAAATTACTCTTCAGGTATTGTTTTGTAGAGTTATAATCTGTACCTTCAAGCAAACAGTAAATTTTGTTGCATTGGAAGTTGTAGCTTGAGTTTTTATCTTTTTCTGGTCTTTTCTCAGATTATTGATTGTGATTATAGAATTGGTTATAAACTTATAATATGTAAGGCATGAAGTTCACCAACAATACTCTTTCCTTAAGTACTTTTCTCTCGCGGTACTTTATATTTGCTGTTATGGATCTCACCTATGCATGTGAGATGCCTTCTAGATGAGTTATAAGTCTAATCTTAGATTTTCAGAGCAAGGAAGAAGTTAATATGTTCTTAACTGAGACTAGAATAGTCATTCATGCTTAACCATTTTCATCTGATGATGTCCAAACAAATTCTAGACCTTAGAAAAGTTATTTGGGTGTTTTTGGGAACATAAGCTCACATGCATATGCCTCTGCTTTTTTCAGATAAAATTGGTTATAGGTTTAGTTCCATGTCAGCTGCTACAACCTTGGTATTTGTTTTGTTTGTTGATGACAAAAAGAAAAAAAAATGATTTGGTGGAAGTCAAAGGCCACAAAAATTAAATGGTTGAAGTAGTAAGGAAACACTGAGGATATTATTTAACAAAGAAATATGGTCATAGATAGAGTAGATTTATGGAGTAGCATTTTATAGTGGGTTCCAAAATAATTAGGTTAAATCCCAATTGCCCTCTAGGTTGTTTGCTCCATACACAAACACATATATGTGTATGTAAACATAACAAAGAAATTTATCAAAAAGTAAAAGAGAAAATTTTAATAACCTACAATGAAGGATAGGAGAAAAGAAGTGTTGGAAATTTGACTCTTCAGAATTTGCCAATTTCAACTCCACTAAGAACCATTTCTGAACTATTTTGTGGCATAAACTCCTTGTATCAAGTTTTTTGATACATTGAAACAAATAGTTCATGGGATTTCTTGTCAGCAATTAAACTGGATGGCTTGAAAATAAAGAAATACTTCTTATTGGCATTGGCCGCTATGAAAGCGGTTTCTCAATTGAATCCAGTTTTTCTTTTTTCATTCCTTGGTGGAAATTTGATTTTAGCTTTTGGAGTTAAATGTTGTCTCTTCTACATCCTTTGCTTTTTAAACAGAAACATTCATACTTTTTGGTGATAGGTAGTTCTAAGGAAATGAAAAAGAGGTAGTTCATATTTGATATTTTCTCATCTACTTTTCTGATGTTTTTCTTTTCTCATCTATTTCTTATTGCTTTGCAAACACACGGTTAAATAACCACCTTTTCATCAAATGTAGTTCCATAGTTCAAATTTGGAACTTCATTCCTTTTCTTTTCTTCTTTTGATAGATAAATCCCTTCTTTCTTTTCTTTTTTTTTGTCTTGTTGGTGCCCAATTCTTTGCTTCTTAATATGCACATTACATTCTTGAGAATTGGTACTCAAGCCTCTTAAGTAAGGATGATCATGGACCAGTCTGGGCTGGGCTTCCAGGCCTATGACTTTAAACATATTATATTAAATATATATGATGTTTTATATTATATTTATGGAATATATGTTATACTTTATATGATATAAAATATTATCTGTAACATATAATATTTGTCATATTATAATTTTTATATATAATAATATTAACATAAAATAAACACACACACACACACATACATATAAAAATATATTGCAGGCCAGGCTGAACCCCACCCAGGACAGGCCTATAATATGGGCCCAGGCACGGCCTAGGCCAGCCTGCAAAGATCAACATCAGTTGGATGCTGGCAGTCATCTAATTTGCCACATCACTTTCAGCCAAAAGCATTCAAGGATTATTGATTGCAATCTCCACAGCATATGTCAAATGCCCATACCCTGCTTATCGAATTGCCTATAATTATAGACCATGCATCTACTAGCATTTGGATTCTGTTTCTCTTTCTGCCTTTGTAGTAAATGGTTGTGTGATGCTCTGCTTACATTCCATTGCTCTCTATTTGTTATTATCCAGCCCAAGTGGGCAGCAGTTTGTGTCCTGCAAGGAAGTCTCTTCATATTTGATCTCTGTTTTTGGACCTCAAGATGCAAGCAAACTCATTTCTGGCCACAATGATGAAAGCACTCATGTAGCATATAAATTAACCTCTGGAACTGTAAGTCATTGTTTATAACATTCATTTGGTTCGCCATATATCTGTTCCGTTATATTTATTGGATATGCTACAGATTTCAGGTTTGATCCACAAGGATGGCAACACAGGGAAAAGCCCCAATTTCTGTTCAATTTCAACTGTTGCAGCTATATCTAGTGACCATGACAAACAAGTTGCTTTATTGAGAGTTGAGAATTTGGCAGAGGTCCAAGTACGGGACCTTTTAGAATGTCAAAAATGCAATATGACTTTTGATGAAAAGGATGCATATTTGCAGCATTTGTTATCATTTCACCAGAAAAATGCAAAGAGGTACAGGCAGGGTTCATCGATTGCTGATGGGGTAATAATTAAAGATGGAAAGTATGAATGTCAGTTCTGCCATAAGATTTTCCAAGAAAGGCATCGGTACAATGGTCATGTTGGTGTCCACATGAGGAACTATGTCAGGAGTCTTGAAGCATCACCAGGTGAGATTACTATGCAAAAGAGTATTGGTCCTCCATCCTTGGGTGTAATTCCTTCAGCAGTCCCTAAGATGGATGCATTGCTTGACATTGACAAAGTTCCTATTCCAGAAACTTCAACTGCCAAGCCTAATAATGCTCTGAATGTTGGTTCTCCTCATAGTAAAATGGGTGTTGTTTTGACTCCAGAAACTTGTACTGCTATAGACAACTATGAATCAGGTGTAAATTCCTTACATAATAAACAGGCTATGCACAGTAATAAGATTGACAAGTCCATTGGCAATGAATCTTATGATAAGCTGGATGTTGATCCTAAGATAACTGATGATAAATCAGGCACTTTGCACAAGGACAGAAAGACCACATCTGTTGAAATTAATTCTTGCTTCGATTATGGAAGTGCATTGCCTGCTAAGGTAGAAAATGTTAGCTCTGAAGCTTCTTGTGGAAAAGATGGTTTTGCAAGCAATATTGTTGAAATTGATAAGCCTGCTACCAAGCAAGAGAACTGTCATATGAGCTCTTTACTTGTGCCATCTTCTAATGGACAAACTTGCATGGTGGTTATTAATTCTGAAACTCTATTATCTAGTGACAAGGAAAATGTTATATTTGAAACTGCTCGTGGAAAAAATGGTTCTGCAAGCACTAATGTTGAAGTTTATAAGCCTTCCATTGAGCCAGAAAGGTCTTCTCAAAGCTGTTCATTTACTCTTTATGCCAATGAGCAAACCTGCAGGCCCAAAAATAATATAGATAGGGTTCTCTTAAGTACTGCTGAAGAACCCGAGCTTGACAAAGTTGAAAATGTTGGAAGTATTGATATAGGAAGTGGGTTTAATGACAAGCAAGCTAAATCAGGTAAAGATTCTTTAATAGAAGCTAATGAGAGCACTGTTGAAAATAATGTAATAAACAGTAGGATGGTTGAACCTTCACTGCAGCAATCTGATTGCCTTCCCACCCTTGACCAGATGGGAAGTGCTGGAAGTGAGACAGATGTTGTAATAGAAGCTACTGGGGACACTAATGAAAATAATTCAATGCAGAATGCAAGGGAAAAACCTTCATCACTGCCATTAGTGCAATCATCCTCTAATTGCCATCTCACAATTTGTGAGATGGTAAGTGGGCCTGATGGCAGTCAGGAAGAACTAGGTAAAGATGTTTTAACAGAAGCTAGCAGGGATGCTGATGAAGAAAATGCAGTGCACAGTGAGGCTGTAGAACCTTTGGTGCCATCAATGCAGTCATCCGGTTGCTTTTCCACACTTGATGAGATGGAAAGTCAGTTTGATGGCAACCAGGTTGGACCAGCTAAAAATGTTGTAACTGAGGCTACTGGAGGAACTGTTGAAGAAAATGCAATTCAGGGAATGCAAACTTCTGATTGCTTCCCTACACTTCATGATATGGTAAGTGGGCCTGATGGCAGTGGGGAAGAACCAGGTAAAGATGTTTTGACAGAAGCTACCAGGGATGCTGATGAAGAAAATGCAGTGCAGGGTGGGATTATAGAGCCTTTGGTGCCATCAATGCAGCCATCCGATTGCTTTCCCACACTTGATGAGATGGAAAGTCAGTTTGATGGCAACCAGGTTGGACCAGGTAAAAATGTTGTAACTGAGGTTACTGAAGGAACTGTTGAAGAAAATGCAATTCAGAGAATGCAGTCCTCTGGTTGCTGGCCCACACCTATTGAGATGGGAAGCGGGCCTAATGGCAATCAGGAAGAACCAGGTAAAGATGTTTTAACAGAAGCTACCAGGGATGCTGATGAAGAAAATGGGATGCAGAGTGGAATTATAGAACCTTTGGTGCCATCAATGCAGTCATCTGATTGCTTTTTCACACTTGATGAGATGGAAAGTGAGCTTGATGTCATCCAGGTACAATCAGGTAAAAATGTTGGAGCAGAGGATATTGGAGGAACTATTGAAGAAGATGCAATTCAGAGAATGCAGTCCTCTGGTTGCTGGCCCACACCTATTGAGATGGGAAGTGGGCCTAATTGCAATCAGGAAGAACCAGGTAAAGATGTTTTAACAGAAGCTACTAGGGATGCCGATGAAGAAAATGCAATGCAGAGTGGAATTATGGAACCTTTGGTGCCATCAGTGCAGTCATCTAATTGCTTTCCCACACTTGATGAGATGGAAAGTGAGCTTCATGTCATCCAGGTACAACCAGGTAAAAATGTTGTAACAGAGGATATTGGAGGAACTATTGAAGAAAATGCAATTCGGAGTGCGACTACAGAACCTACACTGCCATTAATGCAGCCCTTTGATTGTTTTCCCAGCCTGGACGACATAGGAAGTGGGCTTGGTAGCAGTCAGGCTGGACTGGGTAAATATGATGAAACAGAGGCTATTGAGGGCACTGGCAAAGAACATACAACGCAGAGTGGGATGACAGAAGCTTCATTGGTCCTGATGCAATCATCTGATTGTTTTCCCACCCTTGATATGATCCCAGATAAGGTATGCGGGCATCACATGTTATCTCCACCACAAGATGTTAATAAAAAACTATAGGAATGTCATAATAATTGTGGACACAATTGAGGAAATTGTTCTCCATCTATGTTTGTTTAGTTGTCATGATTATCCATATGGCCCCTAAAAGAGAAAAGAAATGGAAACATGATAAAATCCAAGCGCATTTGCCTTCCTACTAAAAATATGAAGGGACTTGATATTCTGTGAAACCAAGTTCTTTTTTTGGATTTCATTTTTTCTTTAGTATTTTATATTTTTAGGGGTCGTTATTTGGTGCAATGGTAAAATGTCGGGCTGTCAAGCATGAGAATGTGGGTTCAAGTATGATAGCAACCACTTTGTGCCAGAAAAAACACAAAATGTTAGGACTCTATCCAGTCCACCCCTCCCAAGGCCCCAGATAGCTGGGACTTTGGGTAATGGCCTTTATTTTATATTTTTATTTTCATTTTTAATGCCAAATTCTCTAAGTGCGGTAATTTGGTTTTCGTGAAGTGGTTTCAGTGCTCGTCTTACATCTGGAAGAATAAATTGAACTTCTCCAATTTCTTATTTCAATGGACAGGAAGGTGATGACTTCTGCAATGTCAACCAGAAGCTTGACAACATATCAAGTTTTGAAGAGTTGAGGTTTGATGAAATAGAGCATCCAGAGTTGAGTTTTGTTAATGGGCAAGAATCAAGCTCTCTTCCAGGGGAATCCTTGGACCTGACATATGATGTTGAACTGGAACAAGGACTCGATGCCTCTGATCAGTTTGAGTGGGAAACTGTCTTACCAAATGTTGCTAGCAGTCGGCTTACAGCTGTATGCGTATGGTGCAGAATAGAGTTCAACCATGAGTCAATCACCTCTGAAACACATGTAAATTCAGTTGGTTTTATGTGTCCAACCTGCAAGGCCAGGATATCGGGTCAATTGAATGTATTGGACAATGGCTTGTCTGTAAATCCTGATCAACTGTGAAGAGGGTTATGCTTCTTGTATTTCTTTAAATGTCTTTTCAGATGTCGGTAATTTCTATACTTCCACGGCAATGTTATATTAGATAATAATTCTGCAGATCAACTCTGATATCTGTTTGATGTTCTCTTCAATTGCTGTTGACCGATATTAACTGTTCCAGGGGGAATTTTGTAAAATAGAACTATCTGTGTATTAAGTTTTCTATGGTTTTTCATTAATAAAAGGAAAAAATACATAAATAAGACTATTTATTATTCTGCACAAAAGAAATCAATGAGTTTTCTAACCTCATATGAATCTGAAAATCGAAATTCATGTTGTTTCCTTTTCCATTCAAGAGAAAAAAAGAAAAAGAAAAAATTGCATGTGGTTTCTAAAACGAAAATAGAGATTTCAGTTGTGGACAAAGTTTTTGTCTTACATTAAAACCTAGATCATTATGCTGCTGATATTAAAAATCCTCAAGCTGCACATGTACTCATGAAGAATAACTATTTCTGTCCTATATCTACAATAATTGAATTAGGAATAAGTGATGAAATAATGATTTTGATAAAGAGGAAAAGTTTAAAACCAAGTAATGGGGTGGAAAATGAATTTAGGGCTTCCTGAGAAGTTAGATTTCAAAAGACTCCTGACAAAGAAGAAATATGATTCACCGACTCCTGACAAAGAAGAAATAATTCAAGTGGTGTTTACTAATACTCAGAGAACGGGACCGGCCATAAAACTGGAGAAGGGAGAGGTTCATGGGTCAGAGGTGCAATCAGGGTTGAATCGGAGTTCAAACCATGATGATGTGGCATATATAAATACTATATATAATATATTTTATAAAATTTTGATATATTTAAATATGATAGATAGATGACAAGCTACTTAATTTTTAAAGGAAATGGTTAGGGTTCAAGTCTCTTAATTTACATTTACTTTAAAATACGTGTATAAGGTCTCATGTTAATCATAACAAAGACTTGTGATTGAATTCCCACACCTGGGTTGGGGGATGGGCTACCCCCGTTATGTATCCCTTCAAAAGATATCAAAAAAATATGTAAAAGAAAGAGTCATTAATTAACATAAATAAGTGAACTAATGGTAATTAAGCAAAATAAGAGGTCATGGGTTTAAGTGTTATTAAACACATTTTAAAATTTCAATTGTTTAAGGACCCGGGTGGTTTTACAAAACCGGACTGATTCGCTGGTTTTCCGATTAAACCGAACAGTCAGCCAATTCTTATCGGCTTTTTATCAAGTGCAGTTGTTGGGGCATGACCGACCAGCCAAGGTCCTGAGTCACAATCAACCGGTCCGGTTTTCTAAACATTGGTGTTTACTAAGATGTTCCAAATTCTGGAAAGAAGTTGTTGGCGATATCTTTAAAAGTGGTTGCCTCCGCACTTTTTCCTGGTTATGCATGATTTTTTTTTTTTTTTTTTTAATTTCTTTTGAAGGGTTACACAACGGTGGATAGCCCAAAATGAACCTAAACCACATGAGACTAAAATCAAACAGCATCCCTATCATTCTTCTTTGATCAAATACATCAGTAAATCAGACTACATGAGCTATAAATGGAACTCTAACCTACCTTCCTATTTCAGAAGCTGAAGCCAAAATGAAAAAGCTACCTAATATTTGTGCAAGCGGTCTTGGTTGCCTATTGAAAAAATAGAGGAAAACCAATATGCAGAGCTACCGACGATAACAAAAGTTTCAGAGTGACCGATCTGGCATTAGGACACCAACTCCGACTAGAAACATCATCCTTGACCCAACTCAGGACAGATCTAGCCGCAACAATTGACGGAGATCGGTCGTCGCCACATTATTTTTGTTAGGAACGCCCTTTTTGGTGAAGGCAGGGAAAGGGAGAGAACTCGGGGGAGGAGAGGTGTGAGAAACGTAGATCCCGCAAACACACCCTCGACGAACTTCGAATCAGTGAGACGGATCTATTTTGGAACCATCTCGAGCTCTGGACCAAGCCGCTCTATCGAACATAAATCCAAATCGATATCACTCTCGATATTTGCCTGCTTCTCATCATCACAGGTTGTCACAGATTTCAACTCTTCTTCGCATTTCAGGATCGTAACTTGCCCCATGACGAGATTTTTGGTCGGAAGCTTAATTACGCTCGATCGGCATCGATTAGTTCCACTCTCCTTCTCCTGGAACCCCGACGGATTGCGCTTTCGCCTGCCAGAACGCATAGCATTAGGGTTCCACCGAGGTCTGAAGGAAGGAGAGCCGAGCGTTTCAGGTGGAAAGCGGCTTCCGAGGTAATCTTGAGAGTGGAGAACCGTGGTCCCCATAGTTAACACAGCCGCCTTGCCGACGGCCGAAACTGTTGTTCTCCTCCACTCCCTTGCCTTCCTCCCACGCGCCGCACAACGCCGCCTCCAGCCATGGCAACTCATTCTCTGCCTTGGCTCACCAGACCGCTCCATCGACTCCGGCCTCGCCTCACCCATTCCGTATTTCCCCTGTAATAAAGATGAAACACTGCATCAGTACTGGAAGCTATTATGAAAGAATAAAGACAAAGAGAGATGGGAAGAGAGAGAGGGAGAGCAAGAGAGGAAAAGAGAGATAGATGGACAACGAGAACGGGAAGATGAATAGGGAGAATAGGAAGAAGGGTGAAGAAGAAAAGACCAGAAGAGATAGAATATTGACACTTTGTCTCTCCTGCAAATTTCTTCATTGAAATTGTTCACACGTGCCATTGATATCTCGAACTTCTAAAATGTGTCTAAATAAGTTCCTGTCGTTAATAGTTTATTAGTTAATTTTGTAAAAGGTCAAAATTATCCTTCGATGGAAGACATTTTTCATTATTTTTTACCTGAGAGTGAAGACATTGTTTATTATCTTCCATTTTTACACTTTAAACTAACTCTACTCCTTTCTTAGGATGAACTTCTACAACATGCTTTCTTTTTTCCTTTGGCCTTGCGAGACATAATATGAGGCTCTCTTCTGGATGACAAGTAACAAGACATGATATTAGGCATCTACCATTACCAACTTCCTGAGAGGTAGTTGATCTTGCATTCATCAAGATTATAAGTAACAGACAAAGAAGACCAAATGTGGAAATGGGTTTGCCTAGATTCTTCATGTTTCACATTCAATGAATTGTAAGACAAAGCAACAAATTAATTAAAGACAAGAAGATCTCAAATTTGTAGGATGGAATTGGAATGTGGGAGAGCCAAAGAACCCTCTCTGCTTTATATAGTACCAAAGGTGAAGGAGATAGAAAATAGAAATGTAAGTTGTGGGGGGGAAAAGGGTCTTTGGATGTAAACAGAAACTGTGAGAATTTCTTGCAAATTTCTTGGATTCAATTAGACTTGTTCATGGGCTGGGTAATCCGACGGCCCGGCCTGCATTTCGGTCGGGCTTGGATATATAATTAGGCCCATGGGTTTGACCTTGGGCCCAAAACACCAAGCCCGATTGTGTGTTGGGCTGGGTTCGGGATTTGTCAAAAAAGCCCGGCCCGGCCTGACTTATTTATATAATATAAAATATATAATATTTGTTATAATATATATATATATATATTAATAATTTAATATATACACATTATTTATTTATTTTTTCTTTATAATTTCTCTCTCTCTATTCAGCCGCTTTAGCGGCGACATGAGTTATATACTTCGGGCATTTTATCAGGGCTGGGCTCGGTCCCAAGTTGTAAACCTGATGATCGGGCCAGACTTAGGCTTGGACCTTAAAAAAATCTGATAATGCAGAGTAAAAGTCCAATCCGACCCATGACCAGATCTAGATTCAACCACTGCATCCACGTGTGAACAAGATAACAGAAAAGAAGAGAGTCCAATTTTTTTTTGGCCTTGTACCGGCAGAATCAAAATGCAGAAAATGAGTAAGGTAAAAATGGATTGGTTATAGGCTTACAAGTTACAACACACCAATCCACCACATGTCATGGGTGTGAAGGTTCTAATTCAGACAAAATCAAAATAGTGTTACGTTATATCGGGACCAACTCTATACTCAAATCGGCCAAAACCAGTGACCCTACTCGGGTCCGACCCCCGATGAGAGTTGGGTTCAGCTTCACGAAATCCTGGCGAAATCCATTCTTTCTATCCTAAGGATAGTAGTCTCGACATGGGTTTGGTTTAATGGCTTGTCGTTGTCTAAGTGGGTACTCCAAAATAATATTTTTTAAAGTTGAATATAGACCGGTTCATGTACGAACATTCTCCAACGGCCATTAGGATGCTCAAATCTATGAGAACCAGCACCACGTTTGGCTTGGCACTTTCGTCCCCAAAGCAAGCCAAACGGCCGTAAAAGACAATCAACATTGTTTTCTTTCAAGGTAGAAGATAATGAATAATGTCTTCTTTGGAATGGTAGTTTTGATATTTTTAAGAGTTTTAAGTGCATATGTCATTATGTGATCAGTAACAAATTGTTAACAATAAGGACTTATTAGACACATTTTAAAGTTTAGGGACTAACTTGAGACAACCCCTAAAGTTCAGGGTATTAATAAGGATTTTTCCCTTAATTTAACTTATCTTTTCTATAGTTTTAATACATGTTTCTCTACATTTTCTTTCAAAATAGTTTATCTTGAGAATGCCTTCGAACAATTTGTATTTTGGACTAATTATTTTCATCATTTTGATATTTGTTGTTATTATTCCAAAAAAAAATTGAATGGATAAATTATTAAAGTAATAATTTAGTAATTTCCATCATAGTGTTAGTNGGGGGGGGACTGCTAGAATCTGGAAGTTTGGGGTAGGGGTCTTTGTTGATAAACAAAGCGTGTGAGGCTAAATTTTACCACTTCTAAAGAACAACATTTTTTTTTTTTTTTTTATATCTTGTGAAGGGTGGTTACACAATGGGTGCTAGCCCATCCCCCAACCCATAACCCCCTAACTGACGTGCAGGTGGGATTTGATCCCAAGTCCAAGAGACCTTATACCAACTAGTTGGTTGGCACCTTGCACCTCTAAAGTACAACATGGTTATCTATAGAGATGTAAATGGATCAAATTGGATTCGAATCAGGGTATATTCAAATCCAATCTGACATTGTTAAGAGTCGACTCGATGATCCAATGAGATTTCATAAGTATGAATTCAAATGCGAATCTGATAAAGAAGTCAGATTTTCAGCTCTGATCCAATCCGGTTCAAATTTCTTAAAAAATTAATAAATTATTAAAAAATAAAATATAATAATTAAAAAAGAAAACAAAAAAATACAAGTATCTTTTCAACTATTTTCATTATATATATATATACATGTTTTTTTATAAAAAATTAATATTACAAATTTACAAAAATGAAATATAAATAATATATTTATAAATAAATAAATAACATATATGTGTTATATATATATTGGATCTTCTTGGATCAGATCAGAATTCAATACATTTGCACCACTAGTTATCTATATATTATAAACAGGGGCTGTATTTGGCATGCTTTTCCAAATGAACTTTGTTTTTTCTTCTGTTATTTTTAAGTTTGAATTTCCATTTTTTTGGTTGGGTTTTGAAGATTGTTGGAATATTAAATCTCTATAATAGATCGTTTGAAGCTAAAAAGTTTGATTTTAAAAAAAGAAATGGTTTTTGGCTCAAAATTCATTATTCAAATAGTGATATTTGAGACATTTAAAAAATTATATTATAGAGAATAATTTTAACCAAATACTATGACCTATTCTAGGTTTACCTGTACTAAAACACCACAATTTGCAATGGATTTAATCAATCTTCCATTAGACGACAATGTCGACCCTAATGTTCATTTAAATGAATTTAATCAAAAGAAAATAAAAATACCATTTTTGCCCCTAATAAGTCACAGACAACCACTCTATTGGTTATATTTGGTCATTTTTTCTATGCAAAAAGGTGTTAAGGGTATTTTTGGAATAAAAAATCATGGGCCTAATGGCAAAACAAACACTTCTTAATGAAATGTTGATTAAGTAAATAAGTTGTAAAATATATGAGATATTTTAGTAAAATGAAAACTATAAGGTAGGTTTAAGTAAATATGTAAAACTATAAGGTGTGTTCTAGTAAATGACCCTAATAGAAACACATAAGAGTACACAATTGTTTTATATTTTCAACTTTTTAAATAATTAATAATTATTCATATTTTATATACTACTTTTAATAAATTTTTTATATTACAAAAATAACAATAATTAATTTTAGTTAGGTTTATTCATTAAACTGATGAAATCGACCAACCCAATCAACTAGAACTGAGTTGGTCACTTTTCTAGTATTTTAGGTTGGCTTTGGTTCACAAATTTCCCAACTCAACCAAGTTCGATTAGTTTCGCTTTAGCTATTTGTAAATCAATCAAAATCGGATGACTTGATCATTGATATATATTAATATTTTATATTTTAAATGTAATTTTTAATATGGAAAAGTGGGAAATTTCCCATATTTCTTAGTCTAAAATGTTTTAACAATTGCAATGTAATTTTTAAAATTAAAATTTAATTTTTAAGTTTAAATATTTTGAATCGACTGACCAAACAAAAAAAATGACCCAAACCAATACAACTTAAGTGGGTCGGTTTTCACAAATGGTCAGTCAATTTCAGCTGACTAACTCCCCAACCTGACTAGGTCAATTTGGTTGACCAAACAACCTACAACCGAACTGAACCAACTCATGAACATTCATACTTTCAGCTAAATTAAGTCTCATATCTGATAAATAACAATAGTTTAATCTCCAACAATTATTAAAAAATTATAGCGAAAATACACAATTATTGAAAATATATTGATAATGAAAAAATACAATAAGTACTAAAAATATATTAAATTAGTTAATAAATAGTGTAATCTCAAATAATAGTTTAATCTCTAATAAATATTAATCAATAATTTATAACAAAAATACAATAAGTACAATAAACAAAATTTAAAAATTTCAATAATAGCAGTTTAATCTCCAATAATTATTGAAAGTTTTTTGTTAATTAATGAAACAAAAATAAATTTATACATAATTATTGAAAATACATTTATCACAAAAAAACAATAAATAATTACTGAGATATAATAAATATTAATATTAGTATAAATAATTATATAATAAATATATATTAAGAGTTTAAAATTATTATTAATAAATATTAATTTTTATGATAGTTATTTTCTCAAATTATTAATTGATATAAGTGAAAGTATTTATTTACAATATTATGTAAAAATATTAAATTATTATTAAAGTTATTTCATTATTATTTTTGTAATATTAAATTAATATCAATTTAAATATTATGTTATAATTATTTTTCTAATTTTCATATTTTTTTTTAAATTTATTACATAACTTATTTATTTTAACTAATTTAATATCTAGTTATGTTAAATATTTTGTTATTTAAAATATTTAGTTGTTTAAATACTTAAATAATATGTAAAATATTTAAAATTTAAAATATTAATTATTTATTGAATTTAATAATCCATAAAATTATAATTTGCACTATTATTACATAATTTCATTTTTAATTTAGTATGACATTAAAATATTGTTAATTTCAGCATTAAAATCTAGTTATGTTAAATATTTAAATAATATGTAAAATATTTAATTTCTTTTATTTACAGAATTTAATAATCCATAAAATTATAATTTATACTATGAATACATAATTTCATTATTAATTTTGTAAGATATTAAATTATTATCAATTTAAATATTATGTTATAATTATTTTTATAGTTTTAAAAAACTTTAAATTTATTACATATTTAGTTATTTAAATATTTAAATAGTATGTAAAATATTTAA